GAAAAATATAATAAAATTATGATAAATCCTAGAAAAATGGCTAGGTTCAAAATCCAAAGTTTGGGATTAAAATGATAAGTGTAGCTATTAGTGCTAAAACAGTGAGATTAAATTTAAGTGGACTATAAATAGCCACTTGCACACAACCCTAGGCTGATACACAACCATTCCTACGTGAGTTGCTGAACCTTGGCTGCTGCCATTCTCCTTCTCCACCATTTCTTGACCACCGGGAAAATGGACGAACCAGACTATACCCTGGTCCCTCGGGTCCAATGGGTGCACCGGACTGTCCCCAGTTCAGTTGGAACAGAAGTCACCAACATTCATTGGTGGGGAGCTGGACTGAGGTCTCCCTATTTGACTATGGTAATCATGTGGACGACCTAAGGGAATTATTCAAATTTCTCCCTTGGAAGTGTTTGTGCACTTTCACATGGGCCATGGGGTAATATCATTGGTATTGGATGCATCGTTAGGTTGTGCCGAGTTAAATCTGCTCCGTTTTTTCCGTTGCAGAAAGGAGATCCCTTCCCCCCGCTTTCAAAAATGATGAAGATGAAGTCCGCGGGGCTGCAGGTACTATGGATCCTCTGACTCCCACCACTGACTCTTCCGATTAATTAAGATATAGGACAAGCCAGAGCCAAAGCCAACGCGTCAAAGTCAAGTCAGGTTCAGCAATCGACGTAACTGGTTCAAATACCAGAAGCTAGGTCATAGAAGGTAGATTCGATTCGACAATCTTAAGTAGTGGAGTCAGCCCTTTGCCGGGATACGAGACTGTCAGCCTCAGCTAATCACTAGCTTATGATAGAAGAATATCGTCAAGTCGGAGAGGAAGAAAAGAAGAAGAATGCCATCATAGAGGGATCAACATGTAAACTTGAAGGGCTAGGGAACTCCTTTAGCTCCTTAATTATTTAGAATGAGAGTTAGGGTCGATCGGGGGAGCCTTACCTCTCAGATGACCCAAGCAAGTCAGTAAGCTTTTAAGCCCTAACAAACTCCTAGTAGGGCACACACGAACAGAGTGGTTTAACACCCTTGTCCAATTCAATTCATCTGCTACTTCCAAACAGGGGTGCTTCACTCACGACTTCTATTTTTATGCTCTCCCTGCTTGTTTTCTTGCTCTTGTCGAGATATCTTTTTTTGAAGTAGCAATGGGCTCAATCTCATATAGAAGGATCTGTTGCATATCATGCCCACCCAGTTTGAATGGGTTGTTCAAGAAGGGATTGAACTAAGGCAAGGAACTGATACGCACCTTGTAGAAGTACTGATCCCCGTCCAGTATTTGGCAAACTGGTGCTATCGTAAGTAGCAATCACTGGTCTTGACTCTGACACTAGGAATAGTGAGTCAGACCTATAGGCCAAAAGACAGACTGAATTAGTCAGTCTAGCTACTACCTTTGTTCGAGGAATGACGTAAAATGATGGTCAGAGATCACCAGGGGAGCTTACACACCCTTCTTCATGAAACTCCACCAAAATGACCACCTTTCTTCATAGTTTCTTCACCAAAACACTATAGCTAGGTGTGAGCAAGCCTTGTGTGGGAGAAAGGTCATTATTGTTGAGTGTCAGCCTCTGGTTGGTGAGTTTGAGGTGCTGAGTTTGTGAGTTTGGTTGGGGGAGCCATTGTCTTGGCATTTTAGGCTTCAAGAAGCCATTGTGTTAGAAAAAGGTCCAAGCTTATGGTGCATTTTCGTGGTCCTTGAAAGTCAGAATCTTGGAGCTGTGTTGGAGGCTCCAAGTCAGTGTCTTTTTCTAAGTTTGAGACACTTGAGGTATACCATGATCACCTCTTTTGTATATTCATGACTTTAGCTTGATTAATCTATTAAAAAGAGAAACTTGAACCATTGGAGTTAAATGACGATAATCTATGCTTAAAAGATGTTAATGAAGTTCTGTCTGTGGAGTTATTGGACTCCCAATCGCATTTGGATACTTAAAAATAGGATTATGCAGTGAACAACTCGAGTTTCTGCATTCTGTCTGATAAGTATTCGAATATTTTTGTGGAGTATTCGAATACTCATCAGCAGGTAGTCGAATACTCATTGAAGGAGTATTGGGATACTTTTCTGGGAAGAAAAATATTCAGATACCTTAGAAGATGTATTCAGATACTGTGTAGTATTCGGGTACCGTGGAAAAAGTATTCGGATACCATGTGGTATGCGAATACCTTAATGAAAGTATTCGGATACTTTCTGGAGATATAGAGTATTCGAATACTCATCGAGGAGTATTCGAATACCTCATGCAGATTTAGTCTAAAATCACTTAAAACAAGTTGGAAAGCCTTAGACAATTAATGGAACCTTGGTCTATAAATATTGATGATTATTTATGGTATAAAAAGACTGTGAGGGTGTTGTTTGGTGACCTTGGACTAGTGTGGGCTTTGGCTTGGATTGTTAGCTTACGAGGTAATCTTTCGTGTTCTCGGATTGATTTGTTGCTTGTTCCATCGACCTCCATGGGAGGGTGGTTTATATGCATGTATGCTTTTATGAAAGATGAAATATACATTGATATATGCTTGAGATGAGTTAAATTAATTGTCAACGTAATGTATGAAAATGATGTTGATTACTTACACAATCAAACTACGACTCTGGTGTGTAAGGCATGTAATGTAGGAAAGTGATTTGGATTACTTATACAATCAGACTGCGACTCTGGTGTGTAAGGCATAAGGCTGTGACCTTATGTTTAGATAGGTCGCAGACGTGCATAAACCCTATCATGTTCCCTGGCCAGTCGAACCGCATTTGCATACATCACATGATTAATGAGTTGTAGTATTTTGACTCGTTGAGCAAGAGATATGTTGTCATAATTTAAATGCCTTACATGAATATGCGTTGAAATTACTGTTTTCGAACTTATATTATACTTGTAAGTGAGCTTGGGGCGGAAGAGTCCTTGAGGGCCCCTTGTCTTACTGAGATTTCTTCTTAGAGATCTCACCTCGCGTTTGGGGCACATTTTCAGGTTCAGGTACCTCGGGGGTTGAGACCTCGGGCGGCAGGAGGCCGGAGCTTAGTTGACTGTTGCATGCTGATTATACTGCCATGATTGGATGTTGATATGTTTAGTGTCTTTATATTGTTATTGAGCTGAGACTTTATTGGGCTTGTTCCCTTATTTGGTGAGCATGAGAGTTGTCCATGCCACATTGATTATGTTATGTTTAGTTAGACTTGTGTTGTATAAATTACCATGATAATGTCCAGACTACGTGTTGTAATTCCGTGACTAGAAACACATATATTATGAGGTTATTCAGTGTAGTTAGTTTTTCTTGCAATTTACATACAGGCATTATTTCGAAAATGAATTAAGTAATCAAGTTGGTTAATATTAATGACATCATAATTGAAAAGAAAAAGTTAGTTCCGCATTTTAATTAAGCGTAGCTTAATACGATGATATGATAACAAACCGGGTATACACGGGGTGTTCCAGAAGCATTGCAGAGGGAAATGCAAGAAATGTGTGATTTCATGTGCAGGATCCTAACAAGCATTTGTAGTCCTAGCTGCTTAGACACTCAGTATCAGGTGGACTGCGACGAGACACAACCACCAACCCAAGACCCTAACAATGAAGACGAACAACTTGGTGATGATAATGGAGAGGATTGATGTCTCTTTAACATTGTTCTTCATTTGTATGTGTGATACTGACTTGTATACATTTCATACTTTTCATTATGTATGTTGTTTTGGGCAATTGATGATAGTTTGGATGTGTATTATCTATATGAAATTACCACAAGTTTATCAAGTACACTATTATATATTTGTTGAATTAAAATTCATATGAAATATATGTTTTTAAAAAAATTAATAATATTATTTTCGAGGGAATTCAAGAAAAATTCGGTTGCAAACTGAGACTCAACTTTTTGACAAAAACATTTTTCGTCAAAATTTTTGACAAAATTCAAGAAAAATTTCGTTGCAAATTGTGAAGAATTTTTTGGTGGAATTATTTTTTTGTCTAAATTTTTGAAAAAAAAGTATTTTCATTAAAATTTTCGATGGAATTGTAGTTAAATTCCTTTATAAACAGTAACAGAACCTTTCAATTTAATTATTTTTAGTCAAAATTTTCAACATAATTGTAGCTAAATTTTATTGCAAATAGTAACAAAACTTTTCCACAAAAATAATTTCTATCAAAATTTTTGATGAAATTATAATTAAATTCCGTTGCAAACTCTTACAAAACTTTTCAATGAAAATAATTTTCATCAAAATTTTCTACAAAATTATTTTTTGTCAAATTTTTTATGAAATTCTAGTTAAATTCTATTGCAAGTTGTAACGGAATTTTTCAACAATTATTTCCGTTGAAATTTTTGACGGAATTTTAGTTAAATTCCATTGCAAATTGAGACGAAATTGTTCGACAAAAATATTTTGAGACGAAATTGTTCGACAACAATATTTTCTATCAAAAATTTTAACGAAATTCATTAAATAAATATTTATATTATGGCTGTATTTGTTGATATAAAAGTAAGGCTTTCAACAGAAAAAATTCCATTGAAATTTTTGACGAAAAAAAAATTCCATCGAAAATAAAGATATTTCTAGTAGTGTCTCTTATATGAACATCACCCCACATAATTCACGAACATCATTTCTATAATTTAAAAACTATAGAATTACTAAAAAAAATAAACAAAAGTACACTTGATTTCTGAAGCACTCTTTCTATAGTTTAAAAACCATGTATACTTCCTACAAATATACATGTCAACTCTACTCATAAAACACTCCGCTTTCAACGTAAAATCCATACATACCTGCATCAATACAAGTAATTTATTCATGAAACATTCATACTTTAAAAACCGTACACAACACGTGTAGAAATACAAGTCAACTTATTAATGAAATACTCCATAACTTAAAGAAGCATAAACAACAACGGTAGAACTGCATGCCTCCTATATAAATAGAGGACAACTTTATTTAAAAAAAAACACCCTTATGAAACTTAAAAACCACACACTTCGTGTAGACATACACGAAAACTTTATTCATGAACACCATATTCCAGAAGAAAAAGAAAAACCCCAAATTTGTCAATAGTTGTTGCAATGTTGTTATCCACTTATCATCTAATTGCATTCTTCCAGACCCATTGAACCTTAAAAAGGAAAAAAAGAACAGTTACATTAGATAGTTGCTGAAACTTAAATAACATTTTCCAACTTTAAGAAGAAAAAGAGAGGAAAATATGCTGAATCTATTCATGAAGGCAGAAATTAGCATCCAAACTATGATAAGTAAAAAATTCACGTTTACACCATATTTTATAAAGCTATGAGAAAATAAGAGACTATCAAATTTTGGCGTTTTTATGATTTCTTAACTAGCCTAATTTTCTAGTTTTGAAAATTATGAATCTCTATACATGCTAATCAAATTTAATCCATTATCATTTCTTAACTTTCTTTTCATTTCTCAAAATTAACTTTTCATGTTATCTTTTACTATTTTCGGATCAATATTTTCATGAGATTGAAAAAACAAATCCAGGAAAAATAACAAACTCACCGTAACATTCCATGTTTTCTGCTCTGTTGCTGCTTGAAAAACAAGACAACTAGTTTACAAGGCTAGCATGAGGGAAGGCAATGACAATAAGCTTCTCTCACTCATGAAACTCAGAAAAATCTAATTTTCATTAATCTGATTGTAAAATTACAAGAGTTGAATATATATACATCTAACTCTCCAAGAGAGCAACGAGAAATAATAACAAACTTTCCTAACCGTTCTGTTTAACTCTTCTAACAACTTCCCACCATTCTGTTAAGGTTAGTTGGCCAAGTATATCTATCTTCAACAACTGATACAGGTGGCTGTGATTCACGTGGGCTAGATTGTGATTCATGTGGGCTTGGAGAATTTATTGGGCTAATTGGATTGTGGTGTATTACTCACCAGACAACAATTTCCAGAAGCAAATTATTACCAAAAGTGAGGTAATCAGATAAGATCAAAATAATTTAGGTAGGGTACATATGTTTTTTTTTAAGTCTTAGGTAGGGTACATATTAATTTAACGTTCCGAATTCTTCATGTATAAAAACAAAGGGCCATTATTAGATGATGAAAATGATTCTCAAAGTTATAGCTGTTGGAGGAAATTAGCAAGGGATATGTTTTGAAATAGATCCAATAAAATTTTGCTGGTACGTTTAGCTTCCCATTAGTGCTCCGCACAACACAGAAATGATGCAAATTAAGCCGGTAGAGATCAAAGGTAATTAATCAGCATATATATTGCTTGTCCATGAGAACTAAATTAGCTACGTACCTGTCATTATACTAACTCAGGCTACCTCCTTCCTCAACTGTTCTCTGATCACATCATTTATATCACCTTCCCAACGTTCAAAGTCTATTGTCACCTTCAATTCTTCTGGTACTATGTCAGCATAACGGAAAATTTTCAAGTTGTGGCAATCGGAGAAATGCAATTCTTTCAAACATGTTAAATTCAAGGTGGAACTCCCAGAGTAAAAGCTCTCAAGTTTCGGCAACAAGGATAAACCCAAAAGCTTAGGCCATTGGAATGTGGTCTCGTCTTCTTCTGATTCATCTCTCTCTTTGGCCACTATTTCTTTTATGGATTTACAGTCATGTACATATAACTCCTCAAAATTAGGCAATTTTTTGGCCGTTGAGGATGTGATCAAGTATTTCATATCGTGGCATTTGAAGAACCACATTTTTTTCAAGCATGGAAAATTCAAAGTGGATCTCCCCAAGTCAAAGCTTCCAAGTCTTGGCAAAGATTCTAGAGTCAAAATCTCAAGCTTTTCAAATATTATCGCATATTCATCTGGTACATCTCCCTCTTTAGCCACTATTTCTTCCAAGGACTCACAGTCAGATACTCGTATCTCCTTCAGATTTGGCAATCTTTTGACGGTTTTGGCAGTTGAGGGAGTGAACAAGTACTTCATGCCGCTGCATTGGATGAATGACACTTCTTCCAAATATGGGAAATTCAAAGTGGAAATCCATGAGTCAAAGCTTTCAAGTTTTGGTAACAAGTATAGAGTCAAAATCTCAAGCATCTCAAATATTATCTCATCTTCACCTGATTCATCTCCCTCTTTACCCACTATTTCTATCATTGACTTACAGTCACCTACCTCCATCCTGTTTAGATTAGGCAATATTTTGCCAGTTGTAGATTTGGACAAGTACTTGAATACTGCTTTAACAGAATTACATTCCCTCACTTCCAACTCTTCCAAGTTAATCAGGAAAGGAAGTAAATGAGAAGGAAGTATGACATCTGTTAAAAATTCACACCCAACCACGACTAAAGAAGTTAAGTTGTCGAAACACCAGCTTGGGACTGTTTCTCGCTGAAGCCATACCTCTTCCAATATTGGATACTCCCCGAGATGTAAAGGAGAACAGGTAAACTACAGAATAAAGACATGAAACTACTCAGTACTTAATACTTATGTAAGGATGTATACTATTGTTGTTTTTAAATATGTAGAGTTTGAAATGAGCAATCGACAAAGTAGCTATGCAGTGAGTTTGCCCCCAAATTAGTGCCACAAGCAATCGACGGAGGTGTAAAATGTTAAGTTCCTCTAAACCTTATCTGTAGAAGTATATAAATGGCATTATGACCCAAATTCTTAAAAACCACAAATAATGTAAATGGTTAACAAAATAAATTGGAATATGCATTCATGCTAATAATTAATAGAAAGGTTACTAGCGTAATAACAAAATATTAGAGTCATAATAGTAAGGAAAAGTAGTATATAAATATTGTTATCCAATGCCATAATTTATCAAAAGAGATTTTTGGATAAGGCTCGTTTGAAGACATTAAATTCTGCATTTAAAAAGGAAAAAAAAGACATTAAATTCACACAAAAGTTGAGGTCATAGTTAATTGATTCAGATGAAGTACTTACTGGTTGTAGAAGAAACACCTTATTTACTGAGGTGTTAAGATCATCTTGGAAGACCAAATCATAATTTGAATGGGGCAAAACTTGAATTCCTCTAAAAGATTTTACTAAGGTGTTAAGATCACCTTGGAAGAACAAATCATAATTTGAATGGGACAAAACTTGAATTCCTCTAAAAGATTTGGCATGTATCAATCCTTGGGAAAAAAATTCCATCTTGGGGCAATCACTTATGTCCACTTGTATTAGAGAGGGTAACTGCAATGTATCATTGCCTGAATAAAAATATTCCAGTCTTGATAAATCTTTGAGAACTATCTTATCCAGCTGCTCAAATTTGATATCTTCTGAAGTTGTTTCATCTTCTGCCACTATTTTTTTGATCGATTCACAGTGACTGACTCTGATCTCCTCAAGGTGCCTTAACTTTTTTGCTGCTGACGATGTGAATAAATACATCAATTCATCACATCCCTCCACAATCAATTCTTTTAGATAGGAGAAAGATACTGTGGAATTTGTGGAGCTTCTCACAGAGTGTAGTAATGTTGTCAGTTCAGAACAGCTGAAAACATATAATTTGTGGAGCTTCTCACAGAGTGTGTTTAACCACGGTAAGTCTTCTGACCCGATGGACATGAGCCCACTCATTCCATACAAAAACAATGTTTTCAAGTGTTCAGGCATCCTGTGTTCACCAATTTCGGACACACTGCAATAGCTTATAAACATTGTTTCTAAATTGGGTGTCATCTCAAGTATTTTGTACGGCACCGTAGGGTAGGGATGCTCATATCCACTATAGATCAGGACAAGTTGATTAAAACATTTGAGTTCTTCCTTAGATTGTTCTAAGTTCAACCTTAACATGGAAATGTGTTTCTCATCCAGCCACAATTCCTTCAGGTTGGGAATAGCCTATTGAAGTCAAAACAAATGAGAATGTAAGGGCTGTGAATTACAAAACGAAAATAAAAGCTTGGCAGTGCAGATTCTGTATTACGTACCTTTAGATCCCAGACTGGGGATTGTCTGTCAATTGAAGTACTACTAACTTCGTAGTCACTGTTTGGATGTGCTCCTTGCTCACTTTGAAATACCTCCAAATTATCACAACGGTACGCACTAAAACTATTTAACTCAGGGCATTCCAGAGTGAATGTTTCAGGGTAGAAGTAAGTTAGCTGTGACAAATCATAAAGAACCACTGAGGTTAAACGTGGGAACACAAACTTTTTTTTCTCTTGTGCTGTTGTTGCCTCTTCTTCCTTTTCAATAATTTCTTGCAATTCACGACAAGATTTTATTTCAAGTTTCTCGAGCTTCTTAAGATTGTGGGCCAGGGCCTCAGGAAACAGAGTTTTCAGATTTGGACAATAGTCTACAAAAACTTGTTGCAAATTTTGAAAACTGAAAATTCCTTGATGATAGTTTTCCCACACATGCTTCAGCCCCCATAGCCATTGTAAACTCAATTTCTTCAATTTTCCCAAAACATCAGTGTTATTCATTTGAAAAATTACCTCTACATTGTCGCATTCACTTACTTCCAGTTCTTGTAAGCTATTTAAATAAGGAAGAACATGAGATGGAATTGCACATGGTTGAATTTCACATCTGAACAGCTTCAAAGTTTTCAAACTGTAAAACCAACTGCTCCGCAGAGCATTTTTATCACGCCAGGCTTGTTGTAGATCAGGATGTTCTGAAAGACTAATCTCGCCCATGCCTTCAAAAAAACTCTGTAAATATTGCAAATAAGTATTTCATCAGATTTATCGTATTTCTTCTACCCAAATGACAGCCTATAAACACCATTGCAGTGGTTTCCGAATTAGCATCTCTAAATTGAAAATAAAAACTCGAGCGAGTAATCAAATGGATTGAAGTTAAATATCAGTGTTAATAAACTTTGCATGAAAACAAATTCATGTGTTACATGAAAGATTCTGACTGCAAGAGTTCTTTCTCTCAGTTACTTCCACTTTGAAGTAAACAACAACAAACATCTATTTACTCTAATTTAATTAAATTTAAAGTGCATTATAATTTTAACAAACTAAAATATAAAAGTAAATGTATTTTTGTTTATTTACCTTAAAGCGACTTCTTTTTTTTTCCATTAGCGCTACTTCTTTTTTCTTATAGCCACGCTATTTTTTCTGCCTTTCAATTTTTATTTTTTATTTTATTTCTTACACTTGCACTGTTCTCATACATTTATTCTCTCTCCCCATTATACTCCTTCCTTCATTCCATTTTATTTTTATACATTTGAAAAAGGGACAAATATCTATCTATTTGATTTCCGTCAATTAACAGTTATAATTTATTGAAAATTACTAATTAATTAATAAATTTAACTCAATAAATTATAATCATTGATTGGCGAAAATCAATGATTAGGATCTAAAATAATACAAAATTATATCCTTTAAAAGGACAAACGTTTTTTCTTTTGAAAAAATGGGCTTTATCATTTTATTTCATTTGTTTCCTTTTCATTATTTACTAAAATCCAAACAAAGTCTTAAAAAAGGAAAAAAATTATTTGTTTTAAATTAATTTTGAAAAGGGAAAACAAAAGTAAACAAAACAAGGAATGAGAATTCAGTCAATAAATTCATTCAAACCTGCGTACCTTTTCCCTGGATATTTGTTGCAACGTAGCATTTAATTCACCTTTCCAGTAACATCTCTTCTCTTTTTCTTCTTCATTATATCTTTTTTTTGAAATTGGCACATCCCTGACTTTCTGTTTTTCTTTTTGTAAAATTGGCACATCCATGACTTTCTTTTTTTCTTGTACAATATATATTTTTTGTAAAATTGGCACATTCCTGACTTTTTCGGAGAATTTTTCCATTTTAGGACATGCACACACTATTAATTTCTCCAATGCTGGAAACTCGAAGATACAACTATTAGAGCTGCAGAAACTTCCAAGGCTCTTCAGTGACACAAGTTCTAGAGTTTCCAAATGTCTGAAAACAATGACAACTTCGCCTGCATTCTCTTCTTCTTTCCCTACAATTTCCTCCAGAGATTCACATTTGACTACCTTCATGGTTTTGAGTTGACCCAAGCTTTTTGCAGTCAATGGGAGTATTAAATTTTTTAATCCTTTACAATCAACCACTTCCAAGTTTGTCAAATAAGTGAGAGATACTGATGAAGGCACAATAGTGAACAAATTAGGACATTTGTTTAATACCAAGAACTCTATCCTTTGTAGAACTACGTCTCGTTCAAAGCCTATATTCTCAAGCTCAGGTAAGTCTATTAACTTCAAGCTTTTTAGCTCTAGAATGACCCCCAAGTTTTCAGTTTCAGGAAGATTTTTGTGAGGCACTACTTCTTTAAAGGAGCAATCACTCAATGAAAGGCTTTTCAGTTTAGGATTCTTATGAAGGAAAGAATATAGAATCTCAATATTCCAAAACCTAGATAAGTGAAGCTCTTCCAAGTTGTATCTTCGATTGTTCGCCTCCCCAATGTAGCTTTTTGACGACTTTGCATGCCACAAATCAATTTTCATGGACTTCAACTTACTGATTACCTATAATTAACAAATAAGTGAAAAAAATAGTACAAGTTAATATACATGAAAATAAATATAAGAAAATGCATCTTCCATGCCAATGAATAATATATTTTTTTTGCTACTTCTGTTCTAGCTTTTGCACTACATTCCTATAATCCTATGAATTAGAAGCAAGTATTAAGAGTTGAAAGGCTTATTAGTACCTCTTCAGGAAAGAGAGCTGACTTGCTTTGTGCATCTGCAGTTTTTTGGAATGGTTCCAGCTTGTCACAAAGTTCAATAGTCAGGTCATTCAATGCTGGGAATCTTAATTCACAGTCGTCTGAATAGAAACTCCTTAGCTTTGGTAGGTTCAAAATTTTGACAGTGGTTAATTTCATAAACTCAAATGTTGGAGTATGACTGCTTGTGTTGTTTTTTATACCTTCTCCCCTGGCAACCATTTCCCTCAATTCATAGCAATTCGACACCAAAAGGAATTCAAGATTGTAAAGACACTTGGCTACAGAAATTGGAAATATATTTTGTAAGCTAACACAATTATGAACCCATATCTTTCGTAGATTGTTCAAGTTGAGAAACCCTTCCTGGTCACTGTTCCATCTCCATATATTCTTCAATTTTGGGAGTGCTTCTAAATGAATGTCTTGCAAGTTGGTTCCATCAGCATCTTGTTTTTTGTTCTCTAGGTCAATTATGGCTTCCATTGACTCGCAATTAGTAACCTTCAAGTTGCATAGACTCCGAAATATTCCCTCCATGTAACGCGGAAAAACTGTGTCTAATTTATCACACTCCTCGATGATTAGAGTATCCAACTTCCCAAAGGAATACAATGGGACTTTAGCCCATATCTTGCTCAAACTCTTCATGCTACTCAATTTGATATTCTTCAAATTTGGAAAAATGCTACCCTGCTTTGGTTCACAATATGGTCATAAGTTAATTGAAGTAATAATTATGTCAAATATAATAACCCAAACCATTAAATTGAATAATTGGGAATTTTCCATAATTGAGAGAGATTATTTAGATTGAAAATTTAATTATTGTAAGAAGTTCTTCCCAGAGTGGGAACGACGTTCCCCTCGTGGGAATGACCTTTAAGAGTTGAGAACGACATAACTCACTTTTGAAGCAAGAATGCAAATAGTGAGATTTTTTGTGTAAAATTGCAGTTTTAAGAAACTTATCGGAAACTCAAAAATAATTTAGTGAGAAACTATTAAATCATTTTAGTGAATGTTAAAATCATGATTTGATGGTTAGATCATGGATTAGAAGAGGATTTATGATGAAAAGCTAAATGTGTAATTTGCCAAGAAGATATTTTTGGTCAAAAGTCAAAAAGTCAAAGATGACCATTTAGTCTTCAAGGATGCTTAAGACTAAAGCCACTTAAAAGCCTATTCACTTAGATATTTTCACCATTTCTCTTCATCTTTCTCATTGGAGAACAACCTCAAAACCATAAACCCTGTTAGAGAAAGAGCTTGAAACCTAGTTTGAGTTCTAGTAGATGAAATCCAAAAGTTCCAACACCAAAAGTGCTTAGAATCATATCAAAAACAAAACCTATCAACTAGTTTCCCTTGAGAGACCTTGTAGAGGGAGATCTTCTTTTCCTAAAGTTTAGGGAAAATATTTAAGTTTTGGTGTTTGGAGAGGGTTTCAACCCATTTAAAGCTTTGAAAGTCCTTCTCCAAGTATTCTGGGAGGATTTGTAGTAAGAAATCACAACTCATATCAAGTTTCATGAAGATTTGAAAGATTGGGGTCCTTGATGAATAGTAACTCATGAATAGTGATTTGTGTAGATTGGTTTTGAGGAGTGTTTTAGTTTGTGGAAGCTTAAAAACCAACCATTTCCTCAACCTAGTGAACTTGGTGGTGAGTAAACTAAACCTCTTTCATGTTTATATGATGTTTCATGGAAGTTGGGTTTTTGATGAATAGTGTCCACGAAAATCTGTTTTGGAAAAAGGATTTTCATGGTGGATTATTGCTTGTTTGATGGTATAGTGTGGAGCCAAGGGTCTTTCAAGAGGAAGATCAAGTAGTGGATCAAGCAACAGAGCATGATCTTGATTCTTGAGTGATTCAAGAATTAATGTGGTACTAGTGAGAAACAAGTGTGCACCTTGTGTTGTGAACACTTGGAAAGATTACATGAGCTTGAAGAAAGCATTGTGTAGGAAGCTTCAAGAGATAAGCTTTCTGTCCTTGGCGTTATAACTATGAAGCATAGAGATATGGGGATTAGTATACATGTACTGTTGGTGAGAGCCCTTCCATGCATAAGTGTTCTAATTACTTATAGATAATTGCTATAGCATCGTTACTGCATTATAGTGAAGTTACAATATTGGGGAAATTGATCCCAATCTACCTTTTGAATACTTGAAACCTATCTTTTATTGTGTTTTCTTAATTAATCAATAGCTTTACCTTAGTTTAACCTTTGTTTAATAGTTTAGTTATTAATTAATCCTCAATTATTATTGTTACTCTTATTGCTTCACATATAGCCGTAGCTTTACTCGATCTTTGTGGGTACAATGCTTGGACTCACACGTCCACTCTATTACTTGTGACACGTGCACTTACGTACTTGTATGATTGATTTATATAATTGATTGCAAAATAGCACAACAAATGTCCATATCTCCTTCGTTCCTTAATGAACGAGGCATATTATATATCATTTTAAAGTACCAGAAGTCTAGTTTATTTTCTCCAAGTTTCAGAATTTAAACATTCCCAGTTTGAGTTGGAACTGAAGCTGCTAGAAACTCTGTTTCACTGGCTATCAAAAGCAGGAATGACTTCTATTTTGAGGAACGACTTCCCGGAGAGGGGGAAACGACTTTCCCAGAGAAAGGAAAACAACATTCCCAGAGTGTGGGAACAAGGTTACATGTACAGGGAACGCCACATGTTCCAAGCTTGCACATGGCACAGTAAAACGCGTATAACTTAAGCTATAGAACTCCAAATTGATTGAGGCTTGGGCCTATGTGAAACTAACATATAGGGCTATAACTAAGGAAAATATTAGAGTCATTGGCTATGTGGATCATTCCCAGTTTAATTTTGAAGCTGCTGCCCTGTTTCCAAGAACTTGGTTTAAAGCAGTGGGCTTGCGACAGTTGTATCTTGAGTTATACAGATTCAATCGAGGCCTATGATATGCCGTTGAAAAACTCAAGACGTTTAGTATAATATAGTAAAAGATGGCAATTTATGGTGAGGGATGGCAGTCCCAGTTTTGGAAAACGTAAGGGTTGTTCAGTAATGATAAAATGACAGAGAGTGGTTTACACCATGTTAGTCTATGGGGGGTTTCATGGCAAGTGACTCAGAGTATGTTATCCCTTTTTAGGTTATGATATTACCTAATAAGGGATTGAAAAATATAAAAAAGATTAACGCTTCCGAATTATGTAGGGTCTACAATTAAAGTACTGATAGAATTGAATACGGAATTCGTTAATGGTAATAAACGGAAAAGAAAAAGAAAAAGTTTGTAAAGAAAAAGTTTATCCGTAATTCTAATCAATTACTTTGATTGTAACTTGGCTTAATATTATATTTAATGTTAACAAACCGGGTCGACACGGGGTATTATATCAAACATAAAACAATTTAAACCAACCATATCAATAAAGAGAGAGCAAGAAGATTTTTGAATGAGTGTAGGTTAAGATATTCTCCTGTTGCCATTACACTAATTGCAAAAAATATAAGTACAACCTTTACTAATTATAACTCAAACAAAATAAATCTTAGTATTTATCATTATCACAATATTGCACCTACGGATTACAATTTGTAATCTTAACTATAAGAGAGATTGATTATACATTATGTGAAAGTGTTTTCAATATCTTGTATGACCTAACTATTTAGATGTCCACATTTAGTAAGCTCATTAGTAATTGAACACATGACAATATATGGTGTTTCAAAATTTTTAATATCCTATGTATGTTTCAAAATAAGTTTCCAATATCACAACAACAAAAATAGAGTAAATACCATTTTTTGTCCCTAACAAAAATACAGTCCCCACTTTAGTCCCTTACAAAAAAAAATTAGTCTCGAGGTTCCTAACAAATTCAAAGTGGACTTATTTAGTTGAAATCGCGGTCCCTCACAAATTCAAAAAAGACCCACATTAGTCCCTCAAAATGACTAAAATTGGTCCACTTTGAATTTCATAGGGACCAACAAACTAATTTTGTTTTGTAAGGGACTAAAGTGGGAACCGTGTTTTTTGTTAGGGACCAAATAGGATATTTACTAAAAAAAAAAGATTTTCAATTCTCTGACATGCAATATAATGGGGATAACAATTCCACATGAAAATGATGGCATACAAAGAGATAAAAATAAATAGAATCTACTCCCACCAATCTACGTACCTCCATTTTAGCATCAAAGTCTTGGCCTTTATGAAAGATGTGTTGCATCTTCTCACATTCACTAACAAAAAGGCTTTGAAGATTCTTTAGATTCTTGGCCATTGGAAATGATAACAAATATTCTAAATTGCAGCAACAATTCACATCCAAGTGTAACAAATTTTGAAAATTGGAACTTAGTGAATATTTGACACTCCATATTAAATCAATTTGGATGGAGGACAACTCCATTCTCTCTAATTTGGAAACCTCAACCTGCAAAGCGACATACAAAGTTAGTGTCTCCTGAAAATCAAGAACTGATTTTGACTTTCTCAAGTGAGTTCTTGCTAAAGAAAAGTTGTTTTTTCTTAGGTTTACCGACTTACAAACTCCTTCCTTTTTAGTTTGAAAAACTAAAATATGAAACGCAATTTCAAAGGTAAAAGATAAATACATATGAAAAGTTTAAACACACCTTTTCATGGAACAATATTTTTTTGGTCTCTCCTCTGGAAAAGAATCCAATAAGTTCAGATAAAGATTTCAATGTCAAAGAGCGTAATTCTGGAAACTTAGGAAATTCAATTTCACTGGGACTGCTAGCATGGACAATCTCCTTCAAAGATTTGCATTGAGAAACTTCAATTGTTTCAAGAATTGTTAGAAGTCTAACCACTGAAAGTAAGAAAACATTCTTCAGATGGTCACACATATTGATCTTGATAACTTTTAATTTTTCAAAGGAGGGTGTTGAAAGATCACAGGAGCATATTTCACCCATGTTATTGAGATCATAGAGATGCAATGACTCCAATTTAGGAAAAACCTTCTCGGGATGTTGTCTGTACTTTGGATTGATAAGAGATTGAATTTCAGAATTACTTATAATAGATAAATGTTTCAGGTCTGGAAATCCTTGCATATTCAATCTATAAAAAATATCTTCAACACCGTTGAGATCTTCCAACAACAAAATTTCAACTCTATTGAACAACATTTTGATACCTTTTTGAGAATGGATGTCAAAACAAGATTTTAACTGTATTGCCAAAAATCTCGATGCTTCATACTTCTCTGGCATCTTGAAATCTGTCTCTAAGTATGCCTTCAAATCTCCAATAACAATCTTGTAACTATATAATTTGTCAAAGAATAAGTCTTTCGGCAAATGATCAACATTTGGGATTTGTATGTCTAGAGTTGTCAACCAATTCAAATGCCTCAACTCAGAAAGACTAGCATTTTCCCTTTGATTTGTCCCTCCTTCAATGTTCCATTCAACGAAGGTGTTTCTCATATATAACTCTTCCAAACTAATAAAACTTTTTATTACATTGGAAGGAATTTCTTGACGTTTGAAGCAATTACTAATGTCAAAAATTTGTAGCTTTTTTAATTCATTCAATTCAAGAGGCAATTTTTCAAAATCAGATCCTGAAAGACTAAGAATTCTTAACTTTTTCAATTGCCCCATGATGGACAATCCCTCACCTAGCATGCAACGCTCCAAACAAAGCATTCTGAGTTTTGTTAGGCATTTGATCGATGAAGGTAAGGGTGATAGGTGAAAGCCAGTCAATATCAACACTTTGAGTTCATTCATTCCTTCAAAAAAGTTATCTGGTATTTTCAGACTTGGATCAATATTGTTAACATGGAAGACTCTAAGTCTTGGGCATTTTAGAATATTAGGAAACCCTTCAATGATATCACATTGTTGTAAGCAAATAGCAGTGTACCTTTCAAGTTTATCCTCATCTGGCCATTCATCTATTTCTCCCTTTGTCATTGTAAATACATGTTTGTCCTCCTCGGATGCTATTGATAAAGCTGCACTACGAACAATAGCTTGCATGGTGAAATGATCATTTGAATAACTGTCAGACAACAAACCAGACTGTTTTAGCTTTCCAACCAATGCATATACTCTATCTTTAGCTTCCCTTAATCTTGAGATTCCTTGAAGAAAACCCAAACCAATGCAGTATTTAACCAAGTCCATAATTAATGCATCATGACCCATCAAAGCACAAAGTAAGAAAGTATACTTTATCTCTTCATTTTCTAAAAGATTGTAGCTCAACTTTGTAGAAAACTCTGGCTTTCCAATTAACTTTTGACTTTCAAGCTTTCGGTTAACATCCTCCCATGTCGAGCGGCTCTGATTTTTTAATGCCCTTGCAGTTGTAACTATATGCATTGGCAACCCTTCACACTTTTTGGCAATTTGAGCAGCTAACTTTTCAAATTCAGATTTTGTATCACCTATTCCAGACTTATTCTTGAACAATGTCTCTGCTTCCTTATCCTTTAAGACTTCTAAACAGAAAATAGAGTCTTCCTTCCCTTCCATGTGACTCGACAACACTTGTTTTATTTCAGAAATCAGCAAAACTTTGCACCCTTTATAACGGCTAAGTGTTTCTTTTGTTTTCGTCACATTGGAAGCACTAAGGGGCTCTTTGGTTTTCATCATACTTAAAGCATCTTCTGTTTCCTTCTTTTTGGAAGCACCTTCAGTTTTCATCTCCTCGAGGGACTTTTTTTCTTCGATATTTGTCAGGCCATCATCATCACCAGATGGAATCCCGAGCATATTGAAGTCCAATTTCGCCCAAAGATCATCAAAGATTATAAGTACGCTCTCCTTCTCGTTTTTTAGTCTCATTTGTATTCGAGTAGCTCTTGCAATCTCACTTTTCTCATCCAATGTCATCCCCAACATTTCAGCAATTTGTCCTTGAATTTTTCGTATGTCAGGATTTCTGGTTACATTTGCCATGGTCACAACATCAAACTTCTTCTCATCCAAGGCTTCCTTAGCAACTTCTTTGACTAAAGTGGTTTTGCCCACACCACTAAACCCATGAAGTCCTATCATTTTAACATTTGAATCTTCGAATGCTGCCTTAATCTTCTTCACAATTTCATCTCTCGATTGAAAGCTCTCATAACCAACATTAGAAAAAAAGGCAGCCAAGGAGGGTGGGCGAAGCCAATAAGAGAGCGTATCTTTCTTCGCTTTTTGTTGAAGTGCATTAACCTTCTTTGTAATATCATGTGCTTTTCTGCTTTGACGATACCTTATCCCCGGCTTAGGAAGGTAACCACCACTTGCAAGCAAGTCAAACACTGCAAGTTCATGGAGTTCTTCCTCCCCAAGGAAACGATCATATTCAGAAATTATTTTATTCACTCCATCTATCCAATTTTTAACTTCATCAGGAATTCCTCTCCCATATCGGTTTTCTTCCTCATCAACTTTGTGTTGAAGTACTTCTTTATCTTTCTTGAGATTCTGAATAGCAACTTCTAGTTTCTTAAGTCTTGTCTCGTACTCAAGTAGGGGAATCAACAGTTGTTGCTTTAGCCACGCCTTCAGTTGAGGTGACGTCAGCAACTTGCAACACCAAGCAGTTAAACGATCCATCTTTCATAATTGGCTTTACTGAGCTCTATATATAGATATAGATGAACTACATCTTCTGCATGCACATAAACAAAAAGATAATATTAATTATGATAAATAAGAGAATAAATTTAAATTAATAAATGGGATAGGTTAATTTGTGATTCCATAGTGCTTTCTCTGGGATGCAAATCAATAATAATCACTTCTTTATTACTTATTTTGAGATAAGTTTACGAATCTTATCTCCACCAATATTATTAATACAATTTGCTAACATTACATCCAATTTGAGCACAAGTAGCCTTATATCCATTAAAAATATTAAAAGAATTGCTAACATTACATTACACTACTTGATGAGTGTCTACAGTATTTGGGATCGACAAAAGTAGACCTACATTATAAATAAATCTCTAACATGTTTTATTGCCCTTTTTTTCTTGAAATTATATATTTGTGAACAAAAGTAGTTATGCTTTTTCATTAAAATTAATTGTTGGAAATTACATTAAACTAATCTATAATTTAAAATATAATTATATATAGTTAATATAAATTGTGGATTTTACCAAAAAAAATATATAAATTGCGATAGAATGGAAGTGTATGGTAAAAAGAAACGAGACTAAATGAACATACTTTTAATATTTTAATGACATGATAAGATCATAAGACTTTGTATTAGACAAATAGATGAATAAACCTTTAGTAGAAAATAATAATTATATTACAAATCGTAATCATAATGAAGTATAAATCAATAGTCACAGCATATATTAAGATTTAGAAGTTGATGTTCTAGCAACATAAAATAAAATACTGGAAATATATCTTGTTGCATACGCTTTTTTTCTTTTTGCTTATATTATGCTATAAAAAAAATTCTTTGGACAAGAAAAACGAACCATTTTTTTTATGTTTGAGAACTATATTTCATAAGACCAACTTACTTATATATATATATATATATTAGCGGATGTACAGAGAATGCACCTAAGGCCTGGTGCAGTCAAATAAAACTACGTCATTTTATAGTGTGAAAGCATTAAATATGGGAAATCGTAACCATACAAAGGTGAAAATAAATATAATATTTTTATTTTCTACAATTAATTTTGAATGCGAGCTTCCTTTACCCACCAAAAATGACGTAGTTTTTAAGTGACTGCACCAATGTTTATATGCAGTCACATTACAAACCATTTTGCTATATATATATATATATATATATATATATATATATATATATATATATAGCAACTGTGAATTGTTAATACCCTTTTTATAATCTGGTAGGGCCCTATGAACCTAGAACTCAACTTCCTCACTCCAAGAGCACGCCCAACACCTGTAGTCGGAGACAAACGGATAAACACATGATCCCCTTCAGAGAATTCAACGGGTCGATGTTTTCCATCATAATAACTCTTTTGGTGGCTCTGTGCTTTCTTTAATCGATCCTTAATCATAATAATCTGATCAGTAGTCTCCTGGACCATATCAGGCCCAAATAACTGTTTCTCACCAATTTCTGACCAACAAGTAGGCGCTCTGCACCTACGGTCATACAAAGCCTCATAGGAAGCCATGCCCAAACTGGCATGATAACTATTATTTTAGGAAAATTCCACCAAAAGCAGATACTTATCCCAAGCAGTCCCCTGCTCTAAGGCACAAGCCCTCAACATGTCCTCCAGGGTCTGAATGGTCCTCTCTGTCGAACCATCAGTCTGGGGATGATAAACCGTACTCAGTCTAAGCTGCGTACTGAGTGCCTGCTGTAATGCTCCCAAAAATCGAGAAGTGAACTTAGAGTCCCGATCACTAATGATGCTTTTTGGAACACCATGAAGTTTCACCATCTCTATTACATACAATCGAGCCAACTGCTCAGTAGAGAAACTTATCTTGACTGGAATAAAATGTGCAGACTTAATCAATCTTTCTACCACAACTCATATAGAATCAAAACCAGCCTGAGTTCTTGGCAATGTTACTACAAGATCCATAGAAATACTGACCCACTTCCATTCCGGAATATTCAAGGGCTGCAGTAATCCAGAGGGCTTCTCATTCTCAAACTTATATTCGTCATTTTATTTCTCTGAGCTCATTTAAGTTCACTTTTATTCCCTAAGGAACAGTATTAACAATTCATAGTTGGGTTTCTGCACCGTTTTTAACGAAATCCACTGTGAATTACTAACTGTGCACTGTTTGCACGCAAAATCGAAAAATTTCTAAACTTATCATTTTTGGTCTAAACATGACTTGTTTAGCACATAATGGACTTCCATATACTTATTACATCCATCTTCTTACTGATAATACCCTTTCTTTTCTAATTGTATATCAGTCTTCTCATTGAAAATATAATTCCACTGAAACATCAGTGTATCAGCCCTTTTACTGATAATATAATTCACAATTTATTGTACCTCAGTCCTTGTATTTACAATTTCATTGTATATCAGTCCTTACACTGATAATACAATTTACAAATTCTACTGGCCAAAGAAACTGCACTCTATGAATTACACAAGGAATCTCCTTGATACATACTAAATACAAAACATAGCATCATAACTCATACTCTAGTTAACTATTCAAGGGCTCTCCCCAAGAATAGCTAACTGACATGTCTTACATGCCTAGTGTGACTCCCAGGGTCAAGCCATAGGCAATCAACACAAATTGTAGTATGAAAATAACTCCCAGGATCAAGCCATAGGCAGTCTACATACCAAGATCACTGGTCAGGATTCTCATAACATACATCATCAGTGCATCATCATAACATCAAAAATCATATAATATCTATATGAATGTGAATGAATGCACATATACAACATATCAAACACTTATTCATAAACTGGGCAATATCTTTCTTCATACCAGACCACCTTAAATTTGGTTTCATGGCCTGATACATCTTGGTTGCAATAGGATGGATAGTATACTTATCCATATGGGCCTCAGCCAACACCTCATCCACCATCTGACCCTTCGGAACAATAATCCGATCTTTATAAAACTTAAGGCCGAGCTTATCAGTGAATACAAAGTCCTGTTCTTTCATAGACTGAACCCTTTCATCAAGTAATTGAGCCTCTTTAATCCGCTCTACTAACGAGTTCTGGACTACCGTAGTAGTCAACAAATACGAGCTATCCACTGAATTCACAGGAATGTTGAAATCCCTAAACTTTTCAATTAAATCATACTCAGAAATCATCAGATTAACTATACAAAGCGCCTTTCTGCTTAAAGCATCGGCCACCACATTGGCTTTACCTGGGTGATATTGCAATTCAAAATCATAATCCTTCATAAATTCCACCCATCGGTGTTGCCTCATATTCAACTCTTTCTGATCAAACAGATACTTTAAACTTTTGTGGTCACTATAGACAACGAAATTGGCGCTGTATAGAAAGTGTCGCCAGATTTTCAATGCAAACACTACGGCTGCCAACTCAAGATCATGTGTTGGATAGTTCTCCTCATGCGGCTTTTAATTGCCGAGAAGCATAAGCAACCACCTGACGTTGTTGCATCAATACATAGCCTAATCTAAACTTAGAAGTATCGCAATATACTTCAAATTTCTCAGCAGGATCAGGCAATATCAATACCGGAGCGGTAGTCAACTTCCATTTTAATTCCTGAAAACTCACTTCATATTATTGGGCCCACGCAAATGGGTTCCCTTTACGGGTTAACCGTGTCAAGGATAGTACCATCCTTGAGCCATCCACATTATGGTGGGGCTAGCTCTCCCAAAGGGGATATATTATTTTATTCAAACTTATGTTAATCCTCCTATACAGATCATTCTGGGAACGCAATGGCTGTAATAAAGAATGAAATTTACCCGGGTAGCCCCTTCCCTACCCGTGTGAATAATTCAAGCATTTTTCCATATTTATGAAATATACCCGGGTATCCCCTTCCCTATTCGGGTAGAGTAAAATTTTCAAAAAATACCCGAGTAGAGAGGGGAATACCCGGGTAGGCTTGATGGTCAACGGTCAAATAGAGGCAGATTGGTGTTATGTTTGTAAATAAGGTTAAATTTTTGAAATAGTTTATAATCAAGGTCAATTTGGTAATTAATTATTAAATAAGGGTTACAGTGGTCAAAAAGCCGTTCTTCTAACATAACTTTTCAATTTCCCTTATTTTTAAACAAACTATATGGCAAGTTTCCTCTTAATGTAAACATGTTCAAGTTCAAAAGCAAAATAATATATGCAATCTATCGACGGTAAAATTTTAGCTTTTTTTTTTGTAGTACAAGTGGAGAGCTGAAAGCCGGGGAAAACACAAGAAACAACTAAGTCAAGCTATCAGTGGCTTGAGAACAATCAGCTTCCATTGACCTTAATAGCTCCTGTGGTGGTCTAGCAAGTAAATTTTAGCTTTTGTCTCTTAAACTTATTTAAGGTATTTATTTTTGTCTCACAATTATTTTATTTTATTTTAATCCTAATTTTTTTCAAAGTTCATCAATTTCTACCGAACTTAATGAGTTTTTTAAACAAAACTTAAGATGACCACAATTTAGTCTCAAACTTCAAGATACCTTGTCAGCATGTACCGTTAATGGGCTTTAAACAGATTTAGAAAGAAATAAACGATAAATATTCTCTTTAATTTCTTTTTTTAATGTCACAGACACAGGTAAAGTATAATATTTAAATATTTATATAAATTTCTAATTAATTATTTATACAGATTTAATTTTATTTATAAAATCTATAAAGAAAAGTAACAAATTTATTAAATTCAAACTGTATTCAGAATAGATAGTGAATATTATTTATACTATCGCTTTAGTAATTTGGGTTACAAGTAACCAATATAAATAATAAAATGAAGGATATAGAATGGGAAAAGGATATTACCATTTAGATTAGAGCAGTTCTGGAAATCGCCACATGTTTGAAATTAACTCCAATTGCGAAAGCTTACTTTGACTTCTATGAAAAAACTGTAACATAAAGTAAGAGTCAGTC